TAACTGTAATATTATTACTGAAATCTATTAGTAATTAGTTACAATAGTAGTTACTGTGTAAAGTATTACTAGTACTGAGTTACTGCCCAACACTGATACACAATATGATATATTTAATTTCATTATATTTTCATTCATAGTAATTACTCTTATTTCTTACGGTCTTATTTTGATAGGTCTTCCCGGAAGTTGTCATCTACCGGACAGGAGCGTCACTGATGATGTAAATGTACACGTTAACCAGGAGCTTTTACCTTCAGCCGTCTAAAATAAAGACACATAAGTGCATCATATTTTATTGAACTACATAAAAATAACAGGAATAATAGAGAGAATTTAGTTTCTTTATTGTTTTGTTCCTCAGAAGAAAGAAGCAGCTGTTGATCAAATGCTGAAATAAAACAGGTTTAATGAACAGAAAGTAATCCCAATACCTGAGGTTGCACACCCCGATACAGTAGGTGGCGGTATGTACCTTTACCGTCGGTCTGCAGTCCGCCATTCAACCGAAGCAGCAGCAGCAGCAGTGATGGAGCCGTTACTATTATAAAGGTAAGGACTGTCTAACATTAGGTGTGTGTTTGAATACATTTAGTGTCAGCCATCTGTCGTTAGAGGCTGCAGGTCTTCATCACCTTCATCAGTTATCAGCAGATATTTAACAACCTGTAAAGTGACCACAGTGTCAACAACAACAACAACAACAACAATTATTGTGCTGTTAGAGTTTGTGTTGTGTTGTACAGGTGGACCTGGAGACACCGTTGTTGATTCAGGTGTTTGGGTAACATACATTTATTTTTTTTATTGTGTTTCATGCGTATGTGTTGCTTTATTACTGCTTTATTCTATTTGTTATTGTTCCTCCCTTTGTTATTGCCTTTTTATTTATTGTTGTTGCTGTTGTTGTTGTTGTGCCTCTGTTGTTGTCTCTGCAAAGCCCTTTGTGACTCATGTCTGTGAGAGGTTCTATATAAATAAATGTTATTTACTCAAAGACATTAATTGTGTCCAAATGACAGCCATCAGATTTTATATTTCTTTGTAAGAAATTCACAAGTTTAGAAGTTCTTTGATGATTATATTCACATTTGAATTCACATTTATTGTTCACTTCATTTTGTCTTGGTCAGTTGCTTACTATTTACTGTTTACTGACTGTAAACAAACACCTACCAATTAGAAGTATGCATTTTGCAGTAGTAGCAAATAAAGAGAAAGGATAGTTTCCATTAGGGGAAAGATTTTATACCCAAAGTTAGTAAATATTGTGATTAGAATAACAACTAATGTTGAACTTTACAGATTATCCCTTTAACCAAAAAATGGGCTGTTAAGTTAATTTGTATTTTATAGATATTCCTTTATTTATTTGTCCCACAATGGGGAAATTCCAAGATTTAAAAAAAAAAAAGTAAAAGTCTGCATTTACACTGAATTATGGACAAATAATTAAACATAAAATGTTATTAGTATCTTCTCACATCCCCCAACAACAATAGATGGTTACACTGAAATATCTAAAGGTGGCTTTAGAAATCAAATTATTTTATTTATTTATGTGTTTTTTTTATTGAATTTAAGCCTGTCAGTGTGTATTGGCAAGAGTCTGGCGATAGGATACATATCACAATACAGGGGTTACGATTCAATATATTGGGATATATTGTGAGCCCCAACATCATCAGCTATAGCTATTTGGGGTTCAATCGCAAAATCCATGTAGTGTTTTTGAGAATCGATACAATATCAGAAAAATCACGATACGATATGTGTTTTTATTTTTTTTTCTACAACCACTTCTATCACTTAGTCTAAAATGAATGAAAACAGATTAATTAAATGAATTTCTGTTTCTTAAAGGTCCCAGTGTGAAACATTTAGGAGAATTTACTGGCAGTAATGTTTATAATCACCTGAAAATAA